TTTGATATTGAATGCAAATCCAGGAAACATAAAACAGCTTTCCGGGACCGAAAAGTTACCGGGACTTTCGACAAAAGGACCCTGCAGAGCGGGACTCGAGGGCCGGATTGCACTAGTTCGGTGCGCTGACCACGCGGCCACGCTGCCTTCTCCTGTTTTTCGAAAAAAGAACGCTATTATTATTATTGTAAACTGTCATGACTGTAACATCTTAGGTTCTTACCCTTTTGAACATTGACAGGTAGTCAAAGCAATCACTTTTTGGACTCACTTGCTTCAACATTATTCTATAATCATCCTGCAGTGCTTTCACTGACAGTTATATAGGTGTTGGATCTGATCCCCGTTCATCCTAGCAACTTGCTAATATTTACAACCTACAAAAGCTGTTCATATCTAAGGCAACCTGTCCTTAGCTACTTGACATTTCAATTGGGTACCTGTCTGCCAACCAGTTGCTTCGACACAGCCACGCTATTTTTTACTCAATAGGGTGTGGCCAATAGATGTTTAACAAAACGCATTATCAGTTTTGACAACCAGTGACGAAAATCATCCTTCACTATTTTACATAGCGAGAAAAATGTTAGGACCTCAATGGTATTCTCATGTCTTAAATGTCCAATAAAATAATGGACAACAATCTTGTAGATGACAGCGATCAGATGTAACAAGTAAATTTTCTTTCGGCAAAAACTCCAAGTTATTAAAACTACTTTAACCATGATTACTGCCAGAAATTACGAAGTTAACACCCTCCAGTTATCTAAATCGCGGAACAACTAAAAGATCTTTTCCACCCTTGCACAAACAACCACCCAAATCTCTGAAATCAGTTAGAACCAACATGCATTAGCAACAATAAGTAGAGATTACAACCTAGTTTCAAAGAAAAACAGTCAGATTTAACAATGCATTGCCTGCTACTGATGTAAAGATTTAACTTTGCTATCTCAAACCATAGTTAATTGAGTGGAATGGTTATGAAACCCGTCAGACTCCTTTGTTATATGTTTTTGTGGACCTGAAAGTGCACAACCTTCAAAAGAATTCCTATCCTTTTGATTGTATTGAACAATAAAAACGTTGCATTAATTTATTCCGTAACAATTTGCTAACAGAAAACAAAGGATTGTGTACTTTCACCGTGCTTTGAACATAAACTGCAGCACTGTTGTTTTTATCATTGATGTTTGCCGCTTTTCATAACCAATCTCCTCTCGTTAGATGAAAATTCTGAGATTGATCATTACCTTGCCACGGTCTTGGACGAGAATCGGTATTTACCTTTCCACTGCCGCTATTTTTCTCTGGAAAGAGCCCCGCTGTAATCTGCACATTTGCTACTAGACCGCAACAGGTTTACATGATTGCGAAGCTCGTTTCGCGTTAGTCCAAATATGAACACTTCAAGTGACCAAAACCTGCCAGATCTGCCTCTCAGCTTTGATAATGATCAGACAGTGGAAACCGAGATACTTTTTACTTCGTTGTCAAGGCGCTTGGAGCTGCATGTACTCTCTCAACGGTGAATTCGTTAAATATGCGACAGTTTTAATATTTATTAACGTCGTGGTTGATAAATTATTACAAAAATGACAGAAATGCGAAATACAAGTGGAGCGCTAAGAGTTGGCCTTTCAAACGACCTCTTGACATGAAAAGAAACTTGGCACCCGTTAAAATTGCCGGAGTCGACATGACAACAATTCATTTTGCGTGGACTTACCCCAACCCACTGCTTCTGTTAAACAGCTGGGAAATATGGATCACAATTACTCTCAGCTAACAACTGTATATAGAGCGCTTTATTAGTACACTCATTCTCTATTGGTAGAGAAAATAAATTTGGGAAATATGGGGTATGAGATAACGGATAGGCAAGTTTCGAGAGAAGTTTTTAGGACAGTGTAGTATTATAAAAAGATCATCCCACGTATGTTATCTTTGCATTATTGGCCAAGTCGGTAAAGTCAAGCTGGCTGGATGTTAGGTAGTTAGGCCAGTTATTTATAGAAGCAGCTGAACTCCACAAAATTGCCAAAAAACAAGAGGGAGAAGAAAAGAAAAGGAAAAAAACATTTGTCTCGGCCGAACAAGTTTGATAATAAACGACATGTTCAGTAGCCTGTTCCAGGCGTCTCCACGAACTGAACGCCTAGAACAGGCTACCTGTTCAGTGTCTGAAGACTCCCACCTCCTCAGGTGCTTCGTATTTGGCACAGAGACCAACGCGAAACGCGAGTGACTGGTGACGAAGCGCAATGGACCATGGGAAGGAAAAAGAAGAAGGGCGAAGTGTCTGGGTACGAGGCAGTAGCAATCAGGACACACGCCGAACCAACCGCGTAATAAGTGACGCAGAAAGTAACCTGGTGCCGTGTTAACATGCAGAGAAGTTTAGTAATTTCATGGAAAGACTAATATATCATCACAGTCTCGATGAGCATGTTATTTTCCCATTTGCAAGCGTCGCGGTTTTTAGCAATGTGTGAATCGTACGGAGAGCAAGGTGACAAAGTTAATCATAAAAAAAGTGAATCTGGATGTTAAAAAGAGGCAAAGAATATTAATCTTTTTCCCAGTGAAAGAATATGCTTATTACGCTGCTACAGGAAAAAGGTATAAGTACTGGTATAAGTACTGCATAATTCATAGACACCCTTCCCCTTTAATTCAATGAAACCTGTCTGTACTCGAATTCTACAATTCTCATTAAAAATCAAGCTATAACCAGTTAACTATGCACTTCTTTTTAAAGAAAGCAAAATAATAGGTAAGATTTCTGCACAGTACCATACCCCAGTTTATTACGGCATACAGCAGTCCGTCATACTATAGCGTTTTCACTCACGTGACCAGCATCTACGCAAATTTATTAGAACAAAAGAAAGCGTTAGTTAACATAAGAAAACAGTTCAACTCCCACAAGATTGGTTTGGAATACCAACATGGCCGTCGTTTTATTGTTTTGGAACAGCAATATGGCCGCCGTGACGTCATGTGAAAACCCGCTATCTCTGGCATCTTACCAATTGCTTTGTATGAGATGAGTCGAAACATATCTGCATAATAAAATTATGGAGCTGAGCGGAAATCTCATGTAATGCAATGCTGCAAAACTGAAATCCGTCTAGTTTCATGTCGGGACCTACCTGGCCTCCGCACACTGGTAGTGGACAAAATTCTTAAAGTTAAGGTATATATTTTAGTGGCTCGGTGGCTCGGCGGTTCGGCAATCCGAACCGCCCAACAATTGTACCTAGAAATTTTTCCCTGTATTCTGTAGTTAAGTTGAAAGCCGAATCAATTTTTGACCTTATAGCAGTTCTAACGCCTTAAAATAAAACAAGCTTCGGAAACCTCTTACCAGTTTATAGGACCATAGTTTCCCTTTTTGAGGAGAAGAAGCCGGCCAATTATTGCGCAGAATGTCCGGATATTAACGGACAGTAATGAGCCACAGCGGCTGGCCATTCAAGCATGAACGCGCTACAAAAGCGAGAGCCTTTTGGTCGTTTTGGGGTCTGTCTGCGGGTACTGTAATAACAAGAGAAATAAAGGTTGTTTACTATTTACGTGGGCAAACCGGTCGGTTTACGGCTTAGGTAAATTGTGAGCAAGAATCAAGACTAGTAAATTTCGCCCCGAAATCGCGTTTACCATTTGCACTAATCAGTTCCATTTATCGTAACAGGGACACGAAAGGCTAAATGGTAAACAACCAAAGGAACCAAGCATTAAAGTTCCCCCGGGGATTTAGATGCTTGGTTGCATTGTTTCTTTTGTTTTACATAATCTGTGCCTCGGTACCATCAGAAGAATTATGCTTTTGTTTCCGCCGACTAAGTTAAAATTCTTGGTCACCTCCAAAAACATGTCATTGAGGGCCTGTTTACATGAAGGTGGGGGACCCCAGGTAGGTGAGGTAACATGTGGCGGGTTACCCCACCTATCATGTAAACGTGATCACATTAAAATGAGAGATTATATGGACAGGCGGGTTACCCCACCTAAGCGGGTTACCTCACCTATCTGGGGTACCCCACCTCCATATAAACAGGCCCTAAAATGCTCTGCAGATTATACAATGATTAACGATGATCGGCTAGGATCAGTGATCTCAGATCACTCGGATCATGGTAGATCAAATGAACCGATAAATCCACTCTGGGCAAGGATTCATTGGTTCATTTAGTCTATCACGATCCGAGTGATCTCGGATCACTGATCCTGATCCGGATCATCCCAAAGAAACAAACCCTTAGAGTCACGTTTACGGAAAACGGCAGACTCCAGTGGAGAATTTCTCAAAATAGAAAACGAGCATTTAAAAACAGTCTAAAACAATTCTCATGGATGAAAATAACGTGAAACTGCATATTTTTTTTCGAGAAGTAAAGAACAGTCAAAGACAAGTAAAGTGAAAACTTAGCCACGTGGCACAATTTCACGTTTGCCGTAAAAAGACTCTAAATCTCTCTCAGAGGAGGTTGATTGATTTTCAAAGTTTTACGGCTAACAACAAGGTATAGTGATATAACAACAATATACAAGTTCATAGTTTTATTACAGCAAAAACGATTCTCAACACCACTGTTATAGGGTGAAATTAAATTTGATAGTAGATTTCCATCTCGATGAGCTATCTCCGACGTCTCTTTGCAAATCCTAAAAAGAAGAGAAAGTTTGGCATGAAGAATGTTCTGTTTTGTTATAGCCTGAAAGGGGATTGGGCTCCTGAGTAAGAGAAATTTTACAGTGGATTTTATATCACCTTTAGAATACACCATGCAATCGCTAACACAATGAACATCTCTGGCTTTTACTCAGTTAGGCTATACAGTATTAGTAAAATCCAGCTAGTGGTCTATTATCAATGCTGCGTTCTGATTAGTTGAGCTACTACTAGGCTATATGTCATAACCCACCAGTAGCGAAAAGCCACCCTGAGTCCCCGAGATCACTTATTCGAGCCAGGGGACCGACTAAGAATCCGATTAAAAACTAGACTTGACTTGACATAAGTTACCTTTCTTCTTTTTTGCGCTCCCAAACTTTTTCTTCCACTGAAAAAAAAAAAAAAACAGCGGAACTATTCAATTACACCATGCGATGACAAAACAAACAAACGCGTAACACATTGATAACGCAAGTTCAAGATTTCTGTGCTGAAATTATTGACATTTTCGCAACGTTAATGCCAAATCGCCGTAGGGCTTGGGCCTGGCCTCTTTCGCAGTGCTCTTAACAAAGACATGGATGTTTATCTGTCCGTTCATTTAGAATCTTGGAACAGCTGCACGTGTACATCGTGCACATCGTGCACAGATCGCTTTCAGACGGCTTCCAATTCCTATTGGTCAAGTGTGTTCTCAAGTGTGGTGTAGACCATACTTGGCGGCGAATGTCGACATTTTTGAACAACGAACGTTTCCATTGTCACCAAGTAAAGTTGAAGTAGGTACATTTTACCCCTTCACACTCAAGGCAGGTTACAAGTACACTTACATTATACTTGAAAGCTCTAGTGTCAAGCCAAGTAATAACGTACCTTAGATTTTGATTTCCGAGTGTCGTTTCTGCGAAGATAAAAGAGATGTAAGTATATTGTGACAGTTTTATGTTCCATAGCCTGTTCCAGGTGTTCAGATTGTGGGACGGCGCAAAGAGACGTGAGCACAAAAAAAAACGCAGGGGTAGGGTGGGTGGTTCCTTCGCTCTCACTCCCTACCCCACCCACTACTGTTTTTACTCTCTCCCTCCCCCTCTCTTCCTCATTTCCCGCTCGATTTAAGGCCGCACTTCACACCCTGAACGCCTGGAAGAGGCTGTGTGTTCCATGAAAACAAAGTATAGTATTACGGCGACTAGAAATTTTACAAAGTCAATAACAAACTAACCTGGGCCTTTCCGAGTAATCGCCATTCTGGATAATATAAACATATAAAACATACGTAAATCAAAGCAGCCTCGTGATACATATGTGGAAAAGACGACAAAGCCTAACAAATGACATTTTCTAGCTGAAATAATAACGCAGTGTAATACATTCGACTTTCTTTTAATGGCCAGACACCTCAATAAAACGAAAGCCTAGAGTTGGTCCCTGCCATTCTTTAATCCCTGTATCTGACTCTCTAGAAGACGGACATCACACTTAGACAGACACTTGGTACTGGTCCCAAAAGATGTCCGTCTTAGAGAAGGTTCACTCTACAAGCAGTTTTGCCATGCAATGAAACTTTGAAACTGTAATATGACTGTAACTAATGCTTACCGCTTCTCTCGTGTCTAAAGCCGATAAGTTAGCGAATGACGTCAAATCGTCCAGGCCTGTTTCAGCACGCTCGATCATCTGGGAAAGTAACCAAACAAGTATAGTAAACAAACAAGCTCATCCCCATCGACAGCTATCCATTAACAATGAGGACTGACTCACGACACCAGGCTAGTAATGCCGGCAGTGAATACGTAACTGATAAAACGGATTTCGCGTTCTTTCAAAGTTTGTTGCTTAATATATGAAGTTTCCTGTAGTGAGATGTTGTGAAAAGTTGATGGTTATGCAATGTAATGACCCTTTGACCAACAACAACAATAATTTATTTCCCCACGTTATCGTCTAAGAGCACAAGTGCTCGTTCAAAACACAAACGTGCTGAATTTGTGCAAAGGAAGGCATATTTCAACTCCCCGTAAAATGCCCTTGAAGAATAAGGATAGAACGAAGGGACCACCAAGCATCTCCCCAATGAGTAAGCCTGAGCACAGTCAATAGCATGTTACCAATATAGAGATGGTTACTTTGAACAACTACGGCACGAGAATGTAACGATATGGGCGAATCAATTAGAGCAACAAACCTTTTTCTTCCTCTTGGCAGGGAGACGAAGTAAATTGTCCTCTTCATACCTGGACAGGATTAAATAATTAATAATAAAAATAATTACAAAAGTAAATTAGAATTATCAAAAAAAAATCTAGCAGAATCCTTCGAGGCAATTTTAAGATGCATTAACGCCATGAAAATTAATCGAAGGTGGTGCCTTGACTTGTATGCTTTATGTTCATCTTGTCTGAGGGAAACAAACAAACAAACAAAATATGATTGGCAGATGTACGCAGCAAGAGAAGGATACCTTGTTCTTTCCTCTTCTTCTTCCTTGTCTTTTTGTTTTCTCCACCGCGACACAGTTTCATCCTAAAAAACATCCACACAAGTTGCATGCAATGTAAGCTTAAACGAGTTTATCGGGAATGAAAATGGACTAACGTTCCCAACAATAACAGAAATATATCATACCCGGATTTCTTGAGGTCCCTCACTGTATTCATCTACAGAGAAAAAAAAAAGTTAGCATTTGGTACACATAAACAAAAACACATACACAAGACACAAACAAAAATAAAACAAGGATAACAGGCTGCTCTTAACCAGGAACAGGATTTAGTGAAGATATAGAGTTCGACTGGTTTTGAAGTTTTAGTAGTACTAAAATGCATCAGTTGTGATTGAGTGAAAAAATCTCACACACTGTTTAACAAATCAAAAGTGTAATATGAAAGAAACGAGAAAAGAAAACCTGTGGGTCACGGTCTGCATTTACCTCTTAAATCCTGCAAAAGTGAGCTCGCTAAAACTCTTTTTCTAGATCTTTCTTCATCTTTCTCTTTTCTCGTTTTCTTATCACCGTCTTCATCTGCAAAGAATCCAGCAAAAATTAATATTATAAAGAACACTCACTATCTACGAAAACCATAAGCGGATTCATTTGTTCAAGGCTGGAGTAGGGAAGGCAGTGATAAGCCTTAACCAGGTGATTCAAAGTGACACAATTTCTGTGGTTACAGGCTACATATGTTACTCTTTCCTTTGTTAGATCCCTCGTTCATTGAGCCATTTGCTCCAAAAATAATTTTACAGAACCAAATTTATCCATAGCCACTTTGCTTTTTTTGAGTGTCAAAATAGTTGAAAAAATTGAATAGTGAGGAAAAATCTTTTTTTGTGCCCACACAAGCCCTTCAAAAATTATTTTTCTTCTATACAAAAAAGGAAAGCAACGAAACAAGAAAAAAGTCTGTGAATATAAAGAAGCTTACCATAAGGAACTGCAGCCACTTTTGGAGGCACATAGACTTTGGATTTTTTCTGACCATCTTCTTCATCACTGCTTTCAGAGTCCTGGTCATCCAGCTAAAAGTGGAATATCCACATAGCAGTTGTCAATAATATTAATGTATTGTTACATTTAATTAATACAGTACAAAAGTGTAACCAAAACAAAAATATGTATATAAGGATTTACATGAAAATATTAAACCTGTTTTTTTTTTTTTTTTTTTAATTCAATATTTATCCAGGGGCATCCAATTTAGCAGAGCTAGTTTAAATGGAGCCCTGACCAAACACAAAAACAAAGACATTACAACATTAAAATTAGACAATTAATTAAGTTACGACAACATCTATGGAGCAATGTTATGGAGCAATTGTGTCAAACCCTAGCCCAATAATTAAATCCAGTGATCTTTGCCTACACACTTCCAATTTACAACATGAAAAAGACAATTTATTTTGACTTTCTTCACAAGCTGCCTTCATTTTGAGTGAATGATGGCATGGAAAAAAAATCTTTCTTTAAAGGCCAAACAAGTTATTTTTACAGGAAAATAAACAATGTGTTCAGACATCCCCAAACTGTGGGTTTATCTCATGGACGAGTAAAGTGAAAAATGTGTTTTTTTGCTTGGATGCACAAAGAAAAAATAAAACAAACCTTGGTTGCCATATTATCAGGATTTGGTTTAAATCTCAAGGGATCATTTTCACCACCTATTAAAGGAGAAAACGCATTAAACACCCAAACTTAACCATAACCAACTTTGTGTTTCAACTTGCGATAATCTTGGTGCAAGTTAGATGTCTCTGGGGGACAGGGTAATGTCACTTACAAGAAATTTTAAAACTGTTATGATCATTATACAAAATGTTACCATTGAAGATATTACTTTTTTGCCCGAAGATGGGAAGGTGGTCTATTTTAAGATGCACCCTAAAGTTACAACAGTTTTAGAGCTATCGAGCAAAATTTATTTGAAAGCATGTAATCTAAAAGACATCCATGAACAACCAGATGCTGTCCAATACACCAAACCAGCTTCCCCCAATGAAAACCTTATACTTGGGGACCTCTTGTAAATGACTGCCTCTTGTATAAGCAAACATGACCACTTTTGCGGGTGACAGTTTATCACCTTCTGTTGTCTTATGACCTTTTGTAAGCAGCTGCTCGATGCATGGTTTGATTTTTATGCCCACCACATGTAGCACGACACACTACTTAGAGTATACAAAGAAATTATTTATCGGTTAATATGGAAAACTCATGTCATACCTTGCATGCAATAAATTCACTACCAAAAGGTAGCTGTGTCAAGACTTCTACTCAGAAGAGACACCTGTGATTCAAATCTTGTAAGCGACTACTTAAAATCTGTGCATTTTGGGTCATCACTTTGGGGAGGTTCGACTGAACAAGATTTGTGTTTTTAGCAAACAATACACACTGTCCAAAACACACAGTCAGATCAAGCCTTTGACCACTTGGTCACACATAGTAATTACATTCCAAAAAACAAATAAAAAATAACAACAGGCATTATTCCTTACCTACTATCCCAGTTGTAGCAGCTTTAATCATTTTGTCAATCTGATATTTCATTTTCTGGTCAATGGGTCTCATTTTCTCTAGAACCTATGACAGAGACAAATAATTTATTAGGGAATTCTCAGTGGAAATCAAATATTATACTGGTAATAAATCTGTGCATTTTGGGTCATCACTTTTTTGTTTTTACAGAGGAATTCAGGCTGCAGAAGAAATGAGAACATCATTCTTCCAAGACCAGAAACAAATTTTATCAGGAACTCCATACGCTTTAGAGGAGCAATCGCATGGAACACTTTAACGAACAAGGAAACAGGGGCCAAAACCTTGAAAGAATTTAAACGCTGTCTCGTAAAATTTGATACCGATAAAATGCATTTCGAACCAATCTTAGCTACTACCAAAAATAGAGATATCGGTTACGAATACTTTTAACAGTTTTAATTTTTAATTGTACATTTTCACGACCTATTTCAAACATTTTTAACAGTTTTTAGTTTTTAATCGTACTTCTTATTTTTCTTGTAATTGTTAGTATGCACGACCCCACCAGCAATGCTGATCTTTTTATCGTGCTAAAATAAAGTTCTTATCTTATCTTATCTAATAAAAAAATATTAAAACTGGTACATCAAGAAGAAAGTTCAAGTTTAGTTGTTGACTATTATTGTTTTGAAGCTTGTGTGTTATAAAAGCTCCAATGACAGATTACATGTATGCAAAAGAAACTTAGTCAAAGCCACAACATTATTTCAATAAGAACAATGAAAAAATTAAATGGCTACTCTATGGACATTTAAGGCATTAAAATGAGCCCAAGAAAATCCATTACGTTGAAGTATTTTAGTGATGGATTACAGTATCAAGTCAAATTGTAATGAAACCAAACTTCAATAAGCAACAAGTGTTCTGATGAAGGATGTACCGATACTAAAAACCAAAAATTTTACTCACAGTGCGAGCTTCAACAAGTCTTTCAACAGCTGGATCTCCCTGCCATGATTTACCATCTGTTTTAGTTAGCAGGTAATAGGTAAGATCAATCACATAACTGCAAGAAAACAACAGAAATGATCATTCTAAGCAGGTTATTATATTAAATAAAGACAGCTATCATTGGTTATCAAGTTGATCAGAGGCTCTTTAAAAAAAAGTTGCAGGACAACAAATAACAACAAAATAATGACTATGATTTCAAAGAATCAATGACACAATTTCAATGTTCTTTCTTTTTTATCTGTCATGACAGTTATATATATCAGTAATTAAAACATTGTACCAACAGGTTGTATGTTAAATTCATTAGAGAACAATGACTTATTTGATGCATCTACATGTAGACTAACCTTAAAAGAAGATGAAACTTTACTTCCAAAAAACTCACACCCTAAAAAAAAAACAAGCAATCAGTCACTCAAAGTAAATCCACATAAAACAATTTATTTATTTATTTAGTTAGTTATTTAATGATAACCAGACATATAAGTCAATATTAATGCATGATTTCATCAATATTTTATTTAAAAGGGTTCTTAAGCAGCATGGTCGAGTGGTTAGAGCGCTGTACTTGTAACACGGTGGCCTGGAGTTCAAGTCCTGCTCTGACTGCTGGCTGGATTTGCTCTCGGTAGTCCTGAGTTCGAATCCTTGGCCACGCTTGGAACATAGGCCACTGGTTTGCCTTCTACCAGTTCGGAGACTGTAAAATTCCGAAAATAAGCCCCGGGACTTATGTTTTTCAAAGGCCCTTTTTGAGGGGCTTATTTTTGGAGGGGCTTATATTCAGAGGGGCTTATCTATAGAGGGAAATTTGCGTTTCAAAATCGATTGGGCTAGCCTTATGGTTGGAAGGAATTTTACCGTTTTCGCTTTGTTTTACTTTGTATTTGAGGGCAATTTCCAAGTACAAGCCCCCGGGGGGCTTCTATTTGGAGGGGCGATTTAACGGAGGGTTTATTGCGTTACGAGTTTGGGGGGCTTATATTCAGAGGTGCTTATTTTTCGGAATTTTACAGTATTTAATCATGTTATTTTCCATTTAAATTATTTGTTCTTTATCCGTGAAAAGCACCATAAGGTGAGAGGATAATTATTACTATTATTATTATTATTATTAACATCAAAGCAAATGACTCTTTTCCATTGCTTACAAAGTCAGCTTTTGCAACTCAACTGAACTACAAACCTTTTTAGTGAGTAAAGAGCCACTTGTGATTTTTTCCATCAATTTCTCCACATGCTGATCAATGTCAGACACCTTTAACAATATTATTGTAATTAATAAAAAAACAAGAGAATCATTTTGAACTGACATTTGGAGTGATTTAAACTATACAATCAGTTATAGATAATATGTGATTCACATATAAAAAAAAAGGCCTGGTATTCAGTCGATGGAAATCAGTAGTGTACCAAGGTATATGAAAAACGAAAAAAGTCTATTTTTGATTGTATAGCTGGCTTTTGCTAGGCATTCGCAAGATACTGTTCCCGTTTAAACACATGGTTCATGCGCCATCACTAACTTACTTTAGATATTTTTCCAAATTCCCATAAATTAATCAATAAGCTTAAATGCGGCTGATACGAAATAAAATAATGAATAAGTGAACCATTATTTTTGAGTTAAAATCTGGAATCCGCAATAGACATTTCTCTTTCACGGAAAATCTCCAAACATTTGACCAAACAGTACGTACTGCAGAAGGAAGAGGCTGAGGATATGAGCGGTACTTTGCTCACTTGAACGAAGTTCATGGACCAACAGCTTTATGGCCAGCAAATATTACGCACCGACTGCAGCGTTCTGTTCTCAAGCAACGCAAAGGATGCACATTGACATTTTTAGGATTAAAGAAGCGAATCCTATAACTTTCATCGACCAAAATAAATCTGTCTGGCATGCCGCGCGCTGAGTCTGCTGTTAACCGAAGCATTTCTCTCTCACCTTCTCCCCCATCTCTCTCATAGTAGATATGACATCCGGCAAATCCCTAGCTATTAACTAATAAAAAAGAAGATATGGATTTTTAGACTACTTTTGAAACTACGAAAAACGAGTGGCAGAGTTGAAAGCACGCGTCAACGAAAAGATTAACATAAGACACCTCTTCTGCCGCCATCTTGGAATATGAGTATGACTCAGCGATCACATTGGCAGCGGTTTCCTTGTAAAATGAAGTTCCGTTGTGTAATTTGTGTCGAATGTCCCTCGGCCTAGAATGCGAAAAACAACCGTTTCTCCTCGCTCTTCGCCGCTGGGGACGTTTCGCGCGAAACGTTCCCAGCGGCGAAAAGTGAGGAGCAACGGATGTTTTCGCAGGCTACCCTCAGCCTTCTCGCTCAGCTGGGAGTACCAAGCAGCAAGCAGGCAAAGGATATGGGAAGTCTGTCGGCCTTGTTCCTGGAGGTGCAGCAAAACAATCCGTAGTGTGCCTGTTGATGGTAACCTGGGCTCAAGCACGTTTTTGATTTAAAAAAAAAAATAAAATAACTCCTCCTCTTCTAACTGTTAGGTCAGGATTTTAAACTTGTACACCCATCGGTTGATTCTCTGCTGTCCTGCTGATTCTCTGTTTCCCAAGTTTTTGTTTTTGTTTTTGTTTTTTTCGTTTCCTCATTTAAATAATCAATGAGTGAAAACAAAAGGCACGATGATTTTTTTCTATTATTTTTTTGTTTTAACGGAAGTTCCGGACGGCGGAACATTAGCATAAATAGGACAGGGATGTTCGCGTTGGAAAATTAAAATTATCATGCTTCTAAAGGAGACCAGTCTGGGTGTGGCTCAGACTATATCTGAACCGTAAAGGCAATCGTACTCAGACAGAGTATGAAAGCATTTATTATTTTTATTTCGAAAGTCCTTTACGCAAAACCCAAAGCGACACCTTTTAAAAGTGTAAAATTATTGGCTTTCCGTCTGAATCCAAAATCTGCAATTAATTTCTATCCCTAAGCAACCCCAGTTTTTTCCATGTTAGCCCACAGGTCTAGCCGGTACAACCGCACCCTCCCCTCAAACAAAATCGGGGGCGGTGCGGCTGTACACAGGTTATGCGCATGCGTGGCAGGGGTCGAAAGGAGTAAAGGTAGAGTAGAGGAGGAGGGGGAAAGTTAGGGGATTGGGAAGAGAGGAAAATGCATTTTGGTCCTCTCCTTTTTAAATTTATAATAATAATTTAATGACTTATACTGCGCGTGTTACATGGAGATATGCTCACACGAGCATTTCACTAGAAATGACCACTCCAGAAATACCATAACATACCATGCTCTTTGTTTGTCACTCCAATATTTTGCATAAGCATTGTCTTCAGTTTCCTTTGGGAGTTAAACTGGCCCCAAGAGAACACTGAAAATAATGCTTATGCAAAATTTTGGGGTCACAAACAAAGAACATTATGGCATGTTATGGTCCTTTTCTGGAGTGGTCAATGATTACAACATCCTCTGAGACCCAGGGGCAGTCAATCGGGTCGGAAGAAAGGGCGCGACCAAAGGAACACAGGACAAACCGTTCGCCGATTGGGCACAATAATACAAAGCATTATTTGTGCCCAATCAGGAGTCGGCATCCGGTTGAATTTTTGGACAGTAGTTCGGTGACAGTCGGTACCCAAGGGTTCTTTCGCCCGTACTTGAAAACTTTCCTCGCGCCCTTTCTCCCGACCTGACTGACTACCCCCTGGGTCCCCGAGGATGTGATGACAATAAAATATAGTGGTGTATATTACAGTATATGAAAAATATTACATGTTAATGAATTTGAATATAATAGTTTACAGTAGAAATAAGGAAACGAAGAATTGGATATCAGATTCCTCTAAGCAATAAAATGGCGGATAACCACAGGTAGATCGTTCCAAAGTTTTGGTGTCACGGCGGTAAATGAATGGTCACCAAGAGTAGCGAGAGTTCTTATATTGGGATGCTGAAGAAATAGTTTGTCATCAGAAGAGCTTAGATTGTATCGAGGAATAGTTTTAAGATTTATATAATAGTTCTGTAATATATTCAGGAGCGAGTCTATTTAAGGCTTTATAGATAAAAAGTAAAATTTAAAATTGAATTCTGTATCTAATTGGCAGACAGTGGAGGCTAAATAAGGTGGGAGTGATGTGATCGAAGTATCCAACATTGCAGATCAGCCTGGCCGGCAGCTGCATTCTGGACTCGTTGGAGCTTGCGCAGCAGGTTGTTAGGCAAGCCATACAAGAGGCTGTTCATTGTAATAATCCAGACGACTTGTTACAAACGCATTGACCAAAATATCAGTACAATCTAGACTGACAAACTTCCAAATTCTTCTTATGTTATATAAGTGGAAAAAAAGCGGTTTTGCAAATTTTAGTAATGTGTGTGTCCATAAGGAGTCCATCTTTAACTGTCGATCAAACCAGGTATCCCCTCCCCCGTCCCTTTTTTGTACTTGTCCCCCCCCTCCCCACCACCAGAATGCAAGTATGGATAATTACAAGGATTGGGTTCTATCTTTGGACTTTTCATCATTTATTTCATCATTCATCATGTTTAACAATTTGATGTACCAAAATATAGCCACTGGGAACAGTGTATTCATTGGCTCTGTCATCAGCATATTTTATGATCTTCTCTTTCTTCAGCAGTTTTATTTTGCCTGCTTCCTCCATTTCTCTCAACTTTTTTTCATAGCCGTATTCAGGGGTGATATAGGTATCCTTTCGTATGGAGTGAGCCATGATTCCACCTAAAACAGAAAAAAATTACAATTCATATCTGGGCATCGCGTTTTTCCGCGACTTCTCCAAGAACGAGTTTATCCGCACTAGGCTACAATCATGGACAAATTTGCATTTGAAGGGCCGTTTTTTTTTCACACATGCAAAACTCCTCTCTCCACCCCGCAAATAACGATGGACGCTTGTATAAAGAATTTTTCCCAAATTTCAAAAGGTAGCACTGCTGTTTTGAGGGCACCCGGAAATCACAGATAATTAAGAATACTACATAGTTACTGTCCCAAGAAATTTTGTCGAGGATTGCCGGCACTTTTTTATTTAAGTTGTAAATTTAACGGGTAAGCCACTGGGCACTCTTATCTGCTAAAACCATTCAGAATTCTAAATTCGAAACTTTGTCAAAACTTGCCAAACTTTAAAAACGCCCCAGCGCTGTCAAGGAAAAATAACAGTAGAATCCAGTTAGTCCCCAACTCGTCCTCTATTGGGAGAGTTTGCTTTTTTGTACGCAATCGCTCTTCGGGTTTTCTCGCCGAATGTACCGTTCGCTTTTTAATTTGAAGCTGATCCGTTCCTGCTTTTCTTTTCGTTCGAAGTGGGCAGATTAGGCGAATAATTGCCGTTTATTACATAGAGACGAGTGTTTTACTGGAAAATATACCACTCGTAAAATTCATAAAAACTATATCCGGGGCCCCGAGTGGTTTATTTTCCATAATCTCACACGTGAGTTTATCGATGACGTAATTTCGGTCATTTTCCATCTATTATTTTATCGATGTCTTTTTGTCTATATAATAAAAATATCATTACACAGCGGCTTGAAGATATGAATTTTGTTTTCTCGGGGCAAAAACAATATTTTACGAACGAGGGCATATTGTTTTGCCACTCGAAAATAAAATTCATATGTTCGCGCCACCGTGTAATATCCTCTATTTATCAGTAGGTAGAACGTTGGTTTTAATAGCAGAGACAGTTAGCAGGTTTTGTCGTCATGGGGTGGAAGGACCCGACCTGAATCATCGCCAAACTTAGCAAACAAAAGCAAGCGAAAATCAAACTTCAGGGAAGTCACTTTCCGGAGAAGGTTTTTCGGTATAACGACCCCCTTCTGAAATAATCTCTTTTAACAATTGTGAAGAAAGAACTTACCGGGCTTTATTAAAGATATAATTTCATCAAAAGCTTTTGGCTTCAGTTGCCCAGGTGTAAAAACACTGCAGCTAACGGCAGCATCAAACTGACCGATAGCAAAGTGCTGTCTCCAGTTGTAAAGCGAATCACACACCATAGCCTTGTATATGTTCTTCTTCTCGGCCAAAGCCAGCATTTTAGGCGACAGATCGATTGCCACAAGATTTGTAAAACCTCTTTCTCTCAGCTTTTCTCCGATCATGCCTGAACCAGCTCCAATATCTAGAATTTGGACCGCATCTTTGTCCAGCGTTGGTAGGGTGTTTTCTATGGCTTTTTGAAGTTCAGGAACAAGAAAGTCTGGGGACTGGTACTTGGACGTTTTCATGTCCTGCGGAAAAAAACATAATGGTCAAGCAGGAATTGTTACCGCTCAACGCAAGAAGTTAAATAAAACGCCGAGCAATGCAAGGAGTGAGGAATAGAAAAGAACGGACATGAACAAAGCACATTTTCTTAGAGGGCCTTAGCTGAGGGTCTGAATGGGGTGTAGTGTTTAGTGTTATTTGCCCATAATTTTTAGTGTTTGCTGTTAAATTGGCCACTTTTTTAATCTTTACTGTTTCCGAGGTTAAGTGTTTGGAAGGTTCTTCGGACATTTTCGGCAATGGTCGGACCTCTTCGTTAGTCTTGAGAAATCTTCGACAGTCTTCGGAAATCGTCGGTAGCCTTCGAAAATCTTCTGAAATAATCCGGAATTGTCGTAAAATGGTCGAAAACTCCTTGATATACTAAACAAAATAATATTGGCCTTTTTGGAGTCGTTTTTACTTCTTTCTGGAAAAATTTACAACTGTTTCAAAGACTTTTTTACTGTTAAAGTTCAGAATGCCCAAAATTTAAGTGTTTCATCAGTATTACAGAGCCAAAAAATGAAGTGTTTAAGTCATCGAGGTACCCCCATTCAGACCCTCTTAGCTAACATAACAGTTAACACTCAAATCCAAATCAAGGTAGGAAGCCCATAACATTTAGCAGTAAACTCTATCTAGACTCTTCGCGTATGCCAGTATGAGCTCGAATTGCCATTCTTTAAGAAGCTTTTCGGCAGACCTCGCGAGTGAAAGCCATTATTTGAACACGGAAGCCTTCAATCATTGCTGCTACTAATCAAAACCTTGTCGCCCCCATGTAAAGTGTAAAACAATAAATCTTGCCCCATTTGAGCAGGTTAAAACTAGGTTTTTATGAACTTTGCCAAAACCCATTAACTGTCGTCGTTGACAACGAGTGTTTATTTACGTAATCATCAAAACTGGTGGTTATCGATACTTTTACATTTGCGATATTTGTGTTCTATAGATAATTTTGTTATGTCAACTGTACAAAGTTTATTGGTAGTTATCACTTAGTTTGGTTGTTTGAAGAGTGAAACCCCTGTCCATCTGAGTTTCTCAATAGGACCGTTTAGCTTATGTTATTTATAAGAAACGAAGTCTATTCATTGTTGTTTAAGAAGGGGTGTTAAGTAAATCAGAACAACAAAAAAAGAAAACAGCAATAATATTGTTTGTTTTTATCCTGAGCGCGCGCTCCAGAAAGCCATTTCAAGCAAGGTCAGTCGTACACGTTTGAACCTTCGACAACTTTTTTTGTACCTAGTGGTTGTTTTCACATTTGTTTTCAAACTTTTTTACATGTAAACAAGCTTCACACTAATAGTAAGGATAAATAGAGGTATTTTACTGAATTTAGAAGCCGTTTATGTAGAACGTCTTTTTTCAAATTGGTCATTTGCTCGAGAAGGAAAATAATTTACACCTTTTACCTCTTCGGCGGCAAAACTGAAAGAAATCAAGTGTCCAAGCGAAAGCACTGAAAGTTTAACATGTTTAACGTCGCGATTGACATAAGGTAAGTACTTTGAGATGTTTTAGAAATGCTGTTCAAGTTCAGCTCTGTTTTGTACTTTTCTAAGTACCGCGATTCAGGACGATTGCAAGCGGCGTACTCTTTTTCGTGTTTTCAGGGGCCATGTCCTCTTTGAAGGTATTTATTTCTTCTTCTGTATATGGGACAATCGACCCCGGCACTTCCTCCATTGTCGCTTCTCCGTTTTGTTTGGTTGAACTTTGGATTGCCATTTTCTGGGCCGTGTTCACAGGATTTTCTTGTTTTCTGGTTGTCGCGAGTGAAAGAGGTTTTATGTCTCTTCGAGAATCTGTAGTTCAGTTCAAAACAAGGAAGAACCTCCGGCTCACCGTTAAAAAACGCTTTTGTTTGTTTTTAACTCTTCAAAAAGTGACAATGAAAGGTTTTGAAAACATTTTAAAATGACATTGTAGAAAACCTTTTTTGCATGTTGTTGTGTTAGAATTTGACGATAGTTGTTACGTAGATGCGAAACAATATCGCTTAGCCTCGTTTTCAACTCGCAATTCCACACTAAATACCTCGCTTCGGTAACCAATCAGAATGCGAGATTTTACTTAATTATGCGATTCCCACCCTCAATTATGCGATTCCCACCCTCAGCTGGGAGAGGCTATCTCTTCGACGAAAGAAACAAAAAGCCGTAATGATGTATAAAACCATGAATGACCTTGCTCCAGAATATCTGCAAAGTCTTTTCTCTCAGCGTCACTCTGCTTACAACTTAAGAAACTCTGAGGGAAGGCTGACCTTGTCCAAACCAAGCACCAATTATTTGAAACGAAGCTTCTCTTACAGCGGGGCCATGTTATGGAATAACTTGCCCAAAAACTTAAAAAACGCTGCATCCGTTGAGCATTTTAAGCGAAATATCAAGAAGGTAGCTGATATATCGGATTCCCACACGGCAATCATGTAAAGCAGTTGTAATTAGTTTTAGTTTTTAACTTAAGCTTAACTGATGATTGCCCGTGTTTAAATAAAGATTTACATACATACATACATATTCATAACTAAACTGGTTCGTAAACAACTTTCGAGTTAATATATGGAAAAAGGCGGGACTTATTAGTATTGTTCTGTCTTTTGTTTTCTTTAAACAATGAATGTACGCATAATTAATGTATTGGATTAATACGGAAATCTTGCCAACATTTCTTGTAATTTTTATATCTCTCTGGCTGTTTTGTCTCGACTGGAAGGTTCCTGGACCTAGGAGAATTTTTGGAGTAAAATTGGTTTTTCTAACCACGCAACAACCTCGAAAAGAAAGGTTGGTTCTTGCTCTGACGAATCGGATTTTTACTGATGTAAGACTAATTTAATTTTAAAATGGGTGAGATTCACAACAATAAAGGATTAAATTAACTGCAAAAACCGTGGACGAAGATCCTGCTAGTTGTAAACGTTGGATCTCTAGAGAAGAGATTCAGCTTTCAAAGTCCAGTCAGGATAAAAGGAGCAGCAAAGAGTCTTTGTCAGAGAGGTCCAGCTAGTAGTGTGCTTGTAAAGTTTTGTCAGGGAGTGAAGTAATAAATCCAAGTGACCTTGAGGCCAAAAAGTGTCAGTTTATTTGTAGAAGGACTTATGTTCCCCTAGCCTGCGTGGCAGGCGTTCAGAAGGGAAGGGGAAGTGAATTAGGGCGCGAGACCGCGCGCGAGAGAGGAGGGAAGAGGGGAAGGAGTAAGGAGGTTCCTTTCCTTTCTCCCTCGCGCTCCCAAATTCCCCTTTCCCCTTCCCTTTTTAACGCCTGCCACACAGGTTAATGTCCCCCCAAAGTTCCGTTTACAATAGGAATGCGAATTCAAGACTTATGATCTTGGGGCAAACCTTGCGTTTCGTCACCGAATACTGGCAACGTACGCACGTGACATTTTATTGACTAGCAAATCAGAAGCGGATTATTACCTATAAGCAGAGATAATGCTATCCCTGTCTTTGTCCTTCAACAATATTTTCGATGAAGTAACGAGGAAATTCTTACTAGGCAGGCTGGCATTCCTTGTCCATAATAACTTTTTGGAACGCTGTCCCCGACCCCCTTATACCCACCGATCTGCTCAGTCTAGAACTGTGAAATATCAAAAACGAGTAATTGAAGTAGCCAACGCCTGCTACGCAGTCTATTTGAAGTTAAGCTACAGTTGCTGCCCCTCCTAATATACAGTGAGTTCAGAAGCTCCATGAAAACATTTAAAAGCATCTGTGCCACTGAGTTCTTGTTCTAAACTCTGTTAATGGAATATATACATATATATCACTGACCGACCTGTTCATAAGTAGCGGACCAAATGTCATGAGCTTTCTTGACCATCTCATCTGACGTGTTCCAAAATGACAAATCATAAATTTCTTTCGGCCTCGGGAAGCTTTCACAAAAGCCCTTTCCATCTGATTTTCCTTCTTCTTTTAGAGTGGCTGTTGACATTGTAGAAGGGTCTCAATTGGGATAGCCGTCGGTAGTCAATGACTTAAAGTGAAAAATGGCTAAACGTTAACTAGAAAGCAATTAAAAGGTTTCAACGTCTTGCAAATAATCGACTCTGATTTCAGCTGCTCTTTGGGGACCTTTGGCTCTCCAAGAATCTTATAATTGTTTGGTAAAACCAGTTCCTGTGTTTTCCATTGCGGGATTAGCATTATTTGTGAGGTGGTGGCAATTACCATGATTAAAGATAAAGATATAAATTTGTTCTATCATCTATGGTCGTTTACGCGGACATTACAACTGAATACATGTAGTTATGGTTTTATATTATATAACCAATTAAAAGTTGAACAGACATTCTTCTCTGAATCACATTTTTTTCCAGGATTATTTATACAACAATTTATAATACTTCATGTTTGTTCTCTACATGAAATCTCATGAGAGTTTATTAAATTCAGATTATATGCTAAAACTTGAGAAGGCCTCAGAGGAATTGTATATAACACTGTATAGCCGATTCAATAAAGGTTGCTTTGGGAATTGGGAAGCTATTGTTTGGTGGTCACTCAAGTAAGTCTTTGCATTGTTCCATATGCCCAAATGCTCAATGTCCAATTCAGCTAATGAACAGTTACCAAAGCAACCTTTTTTGATTTAGCTGTATACTGCGTACCATTAAGGTTTAAAAATTCGGCATGGGATTTTCGGGGGGGGCTAAGTTGTGGTCCAGGAATTTTGGGGGGTTTTGTTGGAAGCCCGGGGGATTTTTTGGTTTTTTTTATTTTTGCTGCCCATTTGATGATCCCCGTCAATTGTACATCCGAAGTACCCTCCCCCCCCCGTTTCCGGGTAATAAAAGCACCTAAGAGCATATTTGGGTAGTTGTTTTAGCCTGTTGTCATTAAGAGTAAAATCTTTTGCCGCACTGATTCGCTTAACACTGGGAAAATGCGACGACAACAGCGCGTCCGTATGTTGCATAATCCACCTTGCGTAGTAATCGGCTCCTGGCTTGAAATGATGAT